AGAGGAGTGTGCCTGTAAGGGTAGCAGCTGTGTGCTTTCTCCTTCCCAGAGACCAACGTGGAGGTGTAGTTCTCAGTTTCCTTCAGCTCCTCCATCCAACAGTGTTGTCTAAAACTCCTTCTTGATCTCACCAAAGAGGAAAGGAGTCCAATGGGATGCGATCCTGGCAAGTCCACTGCATGAGGGGTTGGGCATTCCTGCACCCTGCTGCTGCACAGAGCTGAGGATGCTGGGTCTGCCCAGGGGCTTCATCCCAGGTGCTGAAGCATCATCTTTTATGGCTCAGAAAGGAATCTGAGTGCAGAACGGCGCTGGGCGTGCTGAAAGGAAGAGATAAACTGCTGCAGCCAGGTGTGTTTACAGCTCAGTCACAGCCAGCTGTGCTGACCTCTGCTTTACCCACAGCTCACTGTCGCCTGCGTGTAAAATCCCCTTCCTATGGAAGGTTGTAAGGGAACTGGATGTGATGTGGCATGGGAGGGGGGAGGGGAGGAGGCAGTGGTGGAGGCAGTGGAGATGGAGAGGATGGAGGGCATGTGGTGGGGATGGGAATGATGGAAAGGACTCGGATGATTGGATGGTTGGAACTTGATGATCCTTCCAACCCAAGCCATTCTATGATTCTGTCTTGCTGTGTCTGCAGGAGATGACCCTGTTATCTTTGGTTCTCCTAGCTGCAGCTTAGCAAAGGAAAAAATAGTGAAGGATTTAAAGGAAATTAATGCTAGAAAGTGGTATTTGTGCGCTTTTAGAAGCACAAACTACCCTGAGCAGCAAAACCCTGCTGGTTGGCTGTCTGTCTGTCTGTCTGTCTGCAGGATTTGTGCTGGCTTACAAGCAAGGGCTGGATGTGTGCTGCTGGTCCTATTGCCGTGCAGCCTTTCATACTGGGTTTTGTGGCATCACTGCTGCATGAGGAGTGGCAAACAGTGGGATGGTGCTGCGTTTGTGACCATATTTGATCTTCAATGTGTGTCCAGGCTGGATGATGCTCATGGGAGATCCAGTAGCTGGAGCAGAGGGGGCATGAGTCTTGCTTTCTCCTGGTTTGCAATGTCACAGATATGTAGGTGTGCTTGTTTCATCAGTGATACCCTGGTGGGGACCAGGCTGCACTCTGTGCATCTGGCATGTTTGTCAGGAAGCCACCCAGCATGGGAATGGTGGTGAGCAGATCCCATGCAACCTCAGCCAACTGAGCAAGGGGCAGAACTCTGTGTATTTGTTGGGCTTCCTGCAATGCTCATTGCTCCCAGTGTGTTGGTACATCCCTTGGGAAGCTCCATCCCTTCTGGAAAGCAGAACTGGGGGCATAAGCCAGTGTGCACTTCTCCTCTGATACCGAGTGTGTGATTACCCAAACTTGGTCATTTCTGTGGTGCATCCAAAGAGGTAAATAGGAAAAGTGAAAATATTTTCCATGCAATTGGGCAAGTAAAAGCCAAATAACACCGTCAAATTGAGTCTGGTTAGCTCGGGAGTGGTGGCCATGTTACTTGTTGAGCAGATCCACCAGTTCACAAAAGATGACAGAAGCACCGGGCTGCCTTTGACTAGGACAGATGTACCCAGGCAAACCAGATTCCTCAGCATGCCTGCACACGCCTTGTGCAGGGCTGAGAGCCGTGGGATCTCCCTTAGGCACAGCCCCAGGGGTTACAAGGTGCCCTTCTCTTCTGTTTTGAATGTTTTCACTGGATAAATAATCAGAACATGACTAGCTGCCATGCAGCGCGCTTTGTCTGTAGGGCTCACAACAAAGGGTTAAAGCCCTAAACAAAGCTAAACTTAGCATTCTGTCTGGCAAAGCTGATTTATCAGAGCTGAAACTATCTGCAGGAACAGGCATTGCCCCCAGATTAAAAAGAAAATGTTTTGGCACTGCTGGTGATCTAAATCTGAAGTTTTAGTTTCTGGGTAGAAACAATGCTTTATCCGGCTTGTACCAAAAAAGCTGGAGAGCATTACAAAAAAAGTCAGAATTGAAGGAAAACATCTTGAAATTATTACAGCAGAGTGTTTTGGATAATAGGCTTGTGAACGGTTTTGATATACAAACTTTTGCTTGAAGACAGATGCAGAAATAGCAAGATCTCTTTGCCATCAGTCCCTGGAGGTCCCAACCTCCCCATCCCAAACCTGGATGTGCAGATGGAGATGGGCAGCTCTGGGAATGGAAACCGAGTTTCCAAACCCCTGGCCATCTCCCCATCACCAAATAATGCTGTTTCCTTCCTTTCCTTCCATTCACGTTCTCCATTTAATTGTTCACAGCATTCTCAAGAGGGCAGATATTTGCTTTACAGAAGGACGTTGGCCAAGATAACCTCCTCAGGTCCCTTTAGCCTGTGATCCCTACGGGATGAGGAATACTTTGAGCTTTGTTTTCTTCCCGCAGGCACACAGAGATCCTCTCCCCACTCATGGAAATCTCTTCAGGAGCCCTGGCTGTTATTTCTGAGACTTTGATGCAGAAGAGCCATGGATGGGCAATTGGCAGGAGGTTTGTTTTTGACTGGGGAAGCGTCTGGGCTTGCCCTGTGTTTATGTCTCTGCAGTCTGACTCAAGCCCTGCTAAGCCAACAGGAAGAAATCCCAGCAGCTCAACAGATACAAAGCTGCCACTCTCAAAGGGATGATCTTTTGGTAGCACATCCTTTCCCAAACGTTCCTTCTTTCTGATCTGGCGGTGAGAACTCGCATCAAGCAGCTTTGCTTTGAATGTTGATAATTCAGGCACGCACAAACACATCTCATCCTGCTGGCAATGCCCAGCTAACGTGCTCTGCAGCACCACCACGGCATATTTTGGCACCAGTGCTGTACCCATGGCACACAGCCTTCTCCACCTGCCAAAATGCCTTTCCTTGGGCTGTGCCCTTTTGCCTCTGTTTGTTGCCTTGCTTTAATATGGCTGCCTTTATCTGTTTCTTTTATGGCAGCTGGGATCCTACCGTGTCAGCCGCTGTGATGTCTCCCTCCACTCATCCAAATAAGATAAAATAGTCACTGGAACGTATCACCACTTTGAGATGATATTTCTCCTTAAAGGATGAGGATGAAGCTTATAGGGAGTGGTGGTGCTTTTCATGAGTCAACTGATAGTAAAACCAGTAAGCTTTTGGCCATTCGAGGCTTTGCCTGGGGCATTAAGCAGAGCCCGGGGGTTGGATTTTTCCATGGATTCCCTGTGCAAAGGCACTATGAATACATCCATGACATTTGCAGTCTGTAGGACAAGGAAATGCTTTCAGTAAGCATTAAGTTGCATAACAAGGACTCCCCATGCAAAAGTGGTTGCTTGTCTTCAAAGGAAAACTATTGGGGAGCTGTTCTGTGGCAAGTCAATCAACGTTACTGCTCCTCATTAGATTAGAAAAATACAGGTTTTCCCTCCAGGAAAGGTTTGTAAGTGCTGGTATTTCTAACGTTAGAAACGATTGAAACGGAGTGGTTTGAAATGGTGATTTTTCCTGCAGCTGGAATTTAGTAGATGACGGTTTTCTCTCCCATGTCCATTCCCATTACTTATCAGAGCTCACGGCGTGATTTACACCACTCCCTTCCATCTCCTTTGCCCGCTGCTGCTCAGCCTTTACCAAACACCTGCACTGCCACCTTCTGCCCGGATTGCGGCTCGCAGCCCAATTTCCAGCTTCCTTCTTAGCCTGCCGAACTCACGATGCGTGTCCCAGGAAAGTTCAGAGTGCAAAGAAGAAGCATTGTGCACAGTCACAACGGTCCATCCCTTGAGTTTGATTACAGCTGCTCTCTCGTAGGGCTGGTGACTGTGCTGTATGTAATTCCTAGCTTTGGTGTAGAGGATGGGAGCCCTACGGTGCAGCTCCTAAATAGTAAAATACTTTGCTCAGCCACTGGGAAGCCAACACTGGCCAACAATTAGCCACGAGCATTTGCCCGGGTTTGCTTAATGGCCTGATAGATGCAGGCAGTGTCTGAAATAAGCAAGGGGAAGGATTCAGAGCTTATGCTTGATTATTTGTTATCACTTCCAAGAAGCCACCCTGATTTGTCCCCGTTGGCTGTTTGTTTCTTGTTATCATATGAACTGGTTGGTTCTCAGAGAGCTGGGTGACCGGAGACCATGTGCACGCATGAAAAGGCTGGCAATGTTTCACTGCCTTCTGAAGATGATTCCTCGCAGCATGGCTAAGGGAAGAGTGGCCTCTGGTGCTCACCGAGCTGCCTTACAGCTGCACTCCCACCTGGGTGCTCACTGGTGTCAGTGGACATGGGCAGCAGGATCTGGTGGCTTTGCTCCATCTTTCTCGATGGAATGGGATTTGCTGCTTAACAACATGTCCTGGACCACTTTGTGAAGCAGCCTGCCCACCCCAAAGCCTCTGTTAAAACCTAAACTAAAGCCTAAATATGCCCTTGAACACTTCAGGCAGGCCTGTGTTGCAATCAATATATTGTTAGAAGCAGGAGCCCTCGGCCTGGTTACTCCTTCCTGCCCCACAGAAGTGATTTAGGAACCCATCAGTTTAGGAACCCATCAGGCAGCTTTGCATAACGTGAAGTGTAAGGTGATGATATCCCAAGGGCTGGCTTTTGTGGGGCCATGTGTGCTTTGGCATTGTGTCCCTGGGGCTGCCGGATCTCCCTGTTCTGTAACAGCTTGTTCAAACCAAACCCTCGAGCACATGAGTTGCCTCACACTAAGCTTTATTTCTTTTCTCTACAAGCATGGCAGCCTTTCCAAAGTGCAGCTAAAAAGAAAAAAAAAGTCAATGGGAAATGGGTACCAAACTCCAAATCCTGTTGAAATGCAGTTCAGTCCCCATCACCTTGTATGAAGGCTTTGGTCTTAGGCTGGAAATGACCTTTACCTTTTGCAAGTCAACAGCAAGCTGTGTAAGGGTATGGAGAACAGGTTGCAGAAGTCCATGATCTGGAAATAGCTCAGCCCTTCTGCTATCAGCAGCTGAGATAAATGTAGCTGCCCCAATGGGGTCACAGAGAGTAAGAAGCCTTGGTTTTGTGCTAGGTTTTGTTTATTAAATTCAGGTTTCAATGATGTCCAGAGCTGACAAAAAATATTTCCCAGGAAGACAGACAAACAGAAACATTTCATAAATATATATATATATATATCTCAAACTCTGTAGATATAAACAAATAAAAGCTCTATTTTGTTCTTTTGGGACGTCCTTTGTAACCAGCATTTTCAACTGATCCATTAGCAGCAAATGTTAACCAGTGCTGAACTTCCACTTGTTGTCAAATGAGCAAACCCAGTGTTTTAAAATTATTGCTTGCTATCAGACACATAACACACACACACAGAAGAAAGATACAAAGGGTGTCCATTAAAAATCTTCATTAACAGCACTGACCATACACACGGACCACCAACTTTGTAGTGCTTTTTATTACTGCAGTTAAGACTTGGACATTTGGAAATGGAGGAAGACGTTGGTGTGATCAATCCAAGGACATTACAGGAGGAATATTTCTCAGCAGGTCCAACCACGGAGCCTTGCTAAAATGCACCTTTGTTCACAGTGCTGGGCTGAGCATCCCTTGACATGAGTTCCTCGAGATGCCCATCGCTGGGGACCCAGCACCCAACAGAGCCAGGATGCTGATGTCAGTTCTGTTCTGAGCTGCTGGGCCAAGCCCCTGGGGACAAAGAACAGGACTGTTGCACAGAGAAATGTCATGAGGCTGCAGGTGAGCGAGGTGTTTTTCCTTCCTGGCTTTGAGGGCTGAGGGAGGCGAAGGTCCCATGGGAGGTGACAAGGTAGACGTCCTCGCAGTGCTGTCATTGGGGACATGGTTTGCAGCTATTGGTGCAGGGTTCCCCTGTGCCTATTTGCATACCCTACACTGTGATGGACTGAATTCCCGTGCCATCCCTGTGGGGCATCGCCAGCCCACTACTGAGCAGGGAAACAGGGAACAGCACTACTCATGCTGCAGCCCCAAGGCACAGGAGCCTGGTCCCAAGGGAAGGCAAACCCACTGTCCCCATGCTCCTCAGGGCGTCATGGCAGGGGCGTGCTTCTCATCCACTCTTTCCATACTGGCTCTTTTTGGGTAGACCACACTGGCCAGCTTGAAGAACTCATCTGCAGCATCCAGAGCGATCAGCCGGTCCTGCCAAAGCAATGGGATTGTACAGTCACTGCCACCACATCTTTGAGCATCCTCTGGTGCAGGTCACCTTCCTGCTCCCTGAGTTTGAGCTCACTTGCAGAGCCAGAACAAGAAGGAGGGGTGCACACTAGGAGCTACTCACCACCACAAAGAGGTAACGCTCAGACAGCTCCCAGCTGGTTGGAAAGATGTTTGTCTCTTCAGAGAGCTTTAGCAGGATGTCCCGGGCTTTGCTCATGTTCTGAGAGTCGCTGACAATGCTGAGTTTGGTCACTGACAAGAGGGAGTCTGCTTCCTTCTGGAAACCTGGGGAGAAGATGTGTTAGAGAGAGGAGCCAAACGTGCAGAGAGCAGTGGGAGTCCCTTTGCAGCAATAAATGCGTGTGCGAGTGCTGATATAGCCATCACCATCTCTTACAGCAAGGGTGCCAAGGGAAAGAAAGGGGGAGGAAAATGAATTAGTGTGGTGATCATGAGATCTTTCAATGTAATTGCCACCACTGACTCTGCACGTATCACCAGGGAGCTGGCAGTGATGCACAAGCTGAATGAGTGAATGAATTCCCAGCGTTCCTCCCATCCAGGTGCCAGAACAGCAGGTAGGGCAGGAGTGGCTGAGTTCCCCACCTCTTTTGCTCCCAGTGACAAGGCCCTGGAGCAGCTCCAAGCCCTCCTCTCATTAGCCACCAGCCACCTGGAGCAGGAGTGCTGCTGTTGAGCAATTTCATTTGCTGAAAGAACATTTCAAATTTGCTTTGGAGCAAATAGAGTGGGTGATTTGGCTCCAATCAGACGGTAGGAGCAGGAGAGGAAAACTAGGTGTGTCTGCCTTCACATCTGGGAGAACATTCATTTCTCCATGCTTATCTTGTTTATAAAAATACAGGGTGAGGTATTCTTGCAGAAGGAAACCCCAGATGGAAGACCGTGTGCCCAAGTCACTGTGGGTTGGAAGGGCTCTCGTGAACCCTCACCACCTGCCCTCCTGCTGCTGCTGGCTCCTGGGCTTCTTCTCATTCAGCACGGTAGACAAGACATCATTTTATATTTCTTCTTACCTAAATCCTCCAAGATGTGCTTCCACCTGCTTCTCACTTCTTTCCGTGTTTGCCGTAAGGTATAAATATCGTAGTTGAGCTTTTGCCATTCCTGCAAAGCAGAGGCATGTCATAGTTATTTGCATATGAGGAGGCCTATACTGCTTTTCTGGGAATTTCAACATCTAGAAATGGAGCCAGAGCTCATAATTACATTCCGTGGACTATGGCAATGCCTTATTTGCATAGCCTTGTGGTCAGACTGGCATTGCATAGCTTTTCTAATAGGTGATCGTAGCCTATAGAAAGGTAAAAGTTGCTGCTGTACAAAGGTCACACACACAGTATCTTCTCCAAACTGATCTGGCATCTAACTGGAGCACGTAAGTCTTCAAAATCACTTGGGAACAATAAAACTAGAGTATTTTAGAGGTTGGGGTAGCATTTTCAAAATCATGGACTCACCAGTGTTGGAAAAGACCTCCCAGATCATCCAGTCCAACCGTCCACTTACCACCAGTATTCCCCCACTAGACCACTTCCTTCAGTACATAGCAAGGAAGAGGGGTGCACGTGGATGCTAGGTGGCCAAACTGGAACCATCTGAAATAATCACTATCCTTAGTGACTGCCAGGTCATGAAATTAATGCTTTCATGTAATATAGCTCAAATCCACAGACCTGACCTCAATCTCTGTATCTGCACAATGGGATGCTGCATGGAGGGGAAGGGCTTGAGGTTATTATTACAGTTGTAACCAGTGCCATTAGAGATGCCTGCTTGTAGAAAAAGACATTTCTGCACTGGAACACAACCAGGAGTATTTCTACTACATCAATTTAACACACGTTCACGCCAAAGAGGATGCATCGACAGAAGCGTCCGCACAGCAGGTTGTAGCATCACTCAGATCATTTCCTCTCACTAACAGCCTCAATTAATCCCATTGCTGAGCAGCAGGTGACGCAGATGTACTCCTGCAGAATGAAGGGGTGCTCATCTGTGCCTCCCCCCTGGGATCCTGCTCCCTGGGTTCCTGATGCTGATGAATACCCATAAGACTGCCAGCAAAAGGAGGCTGAACACGATTTCAGCCCTTGGCTATGGAAATGGAGGAGGCAGGAGCAGGAAAGCATGTGCTGGGTAGGAGAGGCCTCGTCCTGCCCTCCCTGAAAGTCACTAATCTGAGTGGCCAGCACACAGGGAAGCTGCTCCTGCTGCTCTGTGGATTAAGAGCAGTGTGATTTCCCATCTATTTTTGTTTTGAGGGAATCTAGGTTACGGCTTTCTCATCCATCCTGCTTACTGAGTTGTTGCTGCACGGAGGTGAATCCAGCCCCAGAGGACCTCTAACATTGTGCTGTCCAGGAAGAATTTGGGGAGGGTGTGAAGGAGCAACCTCAGTGTAGAAAATGATGCTTTACAGGGGTGGACAAGCAGTGCGGGAGCAGCACGTTGCCCATCTCCTGTTATTTGTCACCTCACAGTGCTGCAGGGGTTTATTTTACACCACAAGAGGTTTGATGATGCTGCAGGACAGGAGCCATCCTGCAGGAAAAGAAATTTGCTCCATCTTTGCAATGTTGACCCGAGTGTTGATGAGCTTGGATGGCAGCTTTGATCTCAAGGGTAATGTTAGTGTTTCCAGCCCCTTATCAGCATAAAGGAGGAAAGCATCTTCTTTTCATTGACTCCTTGGTGCCCCTAAGTTTACGCTATTGGCACCGCTGTCAGAAAGGTTCATGATTCAGAAAATAGAAACAGAAATGGGTTAGGTTAGGAAAAATGAGATGCTGGTTTGATGGCCGTGGTGGTGCCACCTGGAGACGTGGGGTGAGAGCTCTTTGTGTCCTTCCAGCATCCTAAATCCCCATGGTGAAGGTGGGGAAGGATGCAGTGAGCACACAGACACATGGGGTGCAGCTCTCCTTTTGCTCCTATTTTAACTGAGATTTACAAAAAAAGGTGCTACGTTTGTGTCGTGTTTGCTGTTGACCATTCCCTGCCCTGTGGCAACAGCCCGCTCCAAGGGCCAGCAGCAGCTCCCAAAGCAGATTATTCCCTTGGCACTGTTCTGCAATTAGACTTTTCTTCCTCCCTCATTAGGGGCAGCGGGCAATGCAAGCTGGCCTAGTTTTCCAATGCTCACTGGAGAACAGAGAGATTTGGGGCCGAGGGCAGGAATGTTGTCTCTCCGGGCCAAATTCCTCCTACTGCCACCCAGAAAGGGTGCAGCTGGAGGCTGCAGCTGCTTGTGTGCCCTCAGCAATTCTCTTTGCACAAATAATGGGGCCTGGTGGGACACAGGAGAGCTGGGAGCACCCCAGAGCAGCATGAGTGCCTCCAGATCCCCAGCGGTAACAGCAGTGGGGCTGAGCATGAATGAAGTGGTCCTGATCAGGCTGCTGAAATCTTCTGTGCACAGAGCAGTTTGGAGAAAGAAATCAGGGCTGAAAAACAGTGCTTATGTAACAGGGATGATTTTTTTTTTTCTCTTCTGTGCCAGTTCCTCAATAATCACCATACGACCCAGTAGGGGAGCACTTAATGCTGCGCTGGAGCTGCAGTGCTCAGGATGCAGCGGGCACCCCATCACAAAAACCCCCAAATAGGAAAATACCATCCCAAACTGAGAAGTAAATGGAACTGGTGATCTCAGAGCACATCCTGATCTCCTCACCTCGGAATCCTTGTCCAGCTGGCTCCGGCCCACAATCATGTTGTACAGCACCCGGTCATCATCTGCCTCTGTGTGGGTCACGTCATGTGGGGTGCTCCACAGGTTCTGCTCCTCATCCCGTGCCAGCGTGGCTCCAAAGGAAGCATACGGGTTGTTGTTGCTGCAGAGAGGGGACATGAGGCTGTGTTAACACCCAGTGTCACCTTAGCTTTCCCAAAAGTCCCTTTCTGCCAGCTGAAATCTGGCATGGCCATGGGACAAAGCACACGGTGCTGCTGGGGATGGGTAAGCCTGGAAATGGGGTGGCTCAGGACAATCTTAGTCATGTGATGGACCCAAAAAGCTGGCCCCATCCATCTGGCATGGGAGGGAGCAGATGGAGCCAGCCCCTCTCCAGTGCTGCCCCAGGATGGGATGGAAATTGAAATGCAGGAAACTGAATCTAAGAAAGAAGTGTGCTACAGAAAGGGTGGTTGAACGTTGTCGTGGGTTGCTTGGAGAGGTTGTGGGGTCTCCAACCACGGAGATGCTCAAAATCCAATGGGACCTGTTCTGGATACCCTGCTCCTGGTCTGACCTGAGCAGGGGCTGCATCAGATGGGAACACCTGGATGGGAACACTTGGAGGCCTTAAGGAAAGCCTGGGTTTGTCCACTCAGTATCTAAAGAGGAGCTTCAGCATCTAAAGGGGGGCTATAGGAGAGAAGGGCACAGACTCTTTAGCAGCGGCTGCTGTGATAGAACAAGGGGAAATGGTTTCAAAGTAAAGGAGGAGAGTTTAAGGCTGGATATAAGGAAGAATTTTACAGTACGGGTGGTGAGGCACTGGCACAGGTGGCCCAGAGAGGTGATGGATGCCCCATCCTGGAGACGCCCAAGGTCAGGCTGAACAGGGCTCTGGGCACTTGATGGAGCTGTTGGTGTCCCTACTCAGTGCAGGAGAGTTGGACTACATGGCCTCTAAGGGTCCCTTCCAACTCATATGATTCTATGATTCTATGAATGGGGAGCAGGCAAAGCATCACCTCCTGAGCATCATCCCCTCCCATGGTGGTGAGGAGCTCTTCTGTGCCCTGTGCTTATGGCTGGGTGCTGTGAGTGGGAAATGCAAGGCTCTTATGGGGTTGTTTCCTCCTGCAGGGAGAACTTCTGGCAGAGTACTGCCATCAGGCCCCCATGTTTCTAACCAAGACAGTGAAGAAGAACACCACAAGTGGGGAAAAATTTTACACCTCACACAGCGGTACTGGCAGCTGTCCTGTGGCATTTCACAGAACCACAGATTTGTAGGGGCTGGAAGGGAACCCTAGAGATCGAGTCCGACCCCCCTTCCTGCTCACTTTGCACTAGAACAACCCCTGCTGATTCCATTTGCTATCCAAATCCCATTCCTTCCTCTAGGAATCCAACCATCCAACCTTGGTCACGCTGCAGTTCTTTATCCCCAATGTCATGGCGTTACAAAGAGTGCTAAGGGGTGCTCCAGCATGTGGATAAACCCCTAAAAGTGGCTCCCTAATTAGACTTGCAGCAAACCAAAAACCTGAGTAACAGGTAACAAGGGGAAGATAATCTCTGCCAATCTCTCATTAAAGCCGAGGGAACAGGCAGGTTGCAGGGTGCAGATGGCACCGCTCAGCCCTCCCAACACATCTCCAGGTGTCCTGAGCAAGCGGGGAACTCCTGGGGCACCAGAGACCCCCATACTAATGGGTTTTCTGTGGGGTTCTCACCCTGCACAGCCTACGGGGCGCTGTTCCACGTGAGCTCATCACCATCCTCCTGCTTCCTCCCACTACTGACTCACCCTGCTCACTGTCAGATCTTTTGGCAGCAACCCTTGGCTTTGTGAGCCACTCCCTTGTGTCTTGCAAGGTGATTCCCAAGGAAGAGGCCCCAGCTGTGCTTGGGAGCCAGCAAACCTCAGCAAACATGGGGTGCGACCGTGGGAAGTGTGTCAGCCCAGAGCTGACAGCAGGCTGAGCATTACTAACATGAGGGAATATGGGGAAAAAGCAGCACAGGAAAGGCCACCTTCCCATCTCGTGTCACTTGCAGCAGTTTCCATGAGACCAGAGGGATCTTGGACCAGCTTCAATTTGCTCTTCATCCAGAAGCATCAACACTTCATCAACAGACTTCTGCTCTGGGCTGCTTTTAGCCCAGTTTAATACATCCCAAGACTCAGAGCCCAAATTCTCAGTTTATTTGCATCGTTCCTTTTAAACAAGGCTGCTGCAAGACCTCCACTTTGCAATATAAAACCACAAAAGCCTCCCATCCGGGGACAAGCCAGCAATTGGGTCATCAGATTAACTATGCTGCCACACTTGCGCAACAGCAGGTGCCTCTGCTTTCCTGCTTATGGCATTAATTGGATCGGTGCACAGAGGCACGTTGCTACAGAAAGGTGCAAGGCAGCACCTGCACCTCTCTGCCCGTGTGCTGGGCTCTCAGGAGGTTAATGCGAATTTCCTGGCCCACCAGCCCCATGCTCGGGATTATCTGGTTATTATTTAGGGAGCTGCTTTTAACAGCACCAAATCAGGGTGCTTCAATCCCTGCCGCCGGTCCCCGCTAACTAAATAGGTCACCACATGTCTCAGAAATGTTGCAGTGCTGTGGGAGGGTTTGGGTGCTGCTGCAGACCCCCTCCCATGCAGGCTGCCTTAGAGATCTGTCATCTTTCAACTTCATGCTGCGTTCGGATAAAGGCTCAATGTGGTGCCTCCAGACGTCCAGCTCCCCTCCCTGGGCATCACCAGCAGCCCCAGTGGGACCCCATCCACTGCTCCTTGCTCCAGCCTCCCCGATGAAAGCCCCGAACCCTTGCAATGGAAAGACAAAAGCCGGGTGGTTTCTATGGTGAAAGACACGTTTTGCTCTCCCAAATTTCATTTGGTTGTCAGAAAATTGAGAGCAGTGCAGCGGCATGCGTTGTGCCACGGGGAGTGAGACCCAAACGAGGCAGAAAGCGAGCTGGGAGAAAATCCCTCTGGGACCTCGGAATCTCCGAGCAGCGGCTGCGGAATGACAGCTAGGAAAAAGGGCAAAGCGTAAGGTGGGAGAGGGATGCGGGCAAAGCGGGGCCACGCTTGGAGGATCGCTGCAGTGCGAGCAGATCGGGGAGGGGATGGGATCACCCGGAGCCGGGATGGGATGGGGGCACTCACCTGAGCAGCGGCTCCTTCTCAGGGGCTGCTGCCTCCCCGCCGCAGCAGCCGCAGCAGCCGCCAAGCGAGCGCAGCCAGGCCCCCAGCCCCATGGGCGCGGCAGCGCTGGGCTCTGCCCGTCCCCGTGCCCCTCCCTGGCTCCCCCCTGGATCCCCAGCGCCTTCAGCCGCCGCGGGGCATCACGCTCGCCCTCCGGGGCCCCGCACAGCGCGAGCACGCAGGGCACGGGCAGAGGAAGGCAGGGCACGCTCATATTTCTCCCCCTCTTCTTCGTTCCGGGGCGACGCTGATTCATTACCATCCCCTTCCGGGGAATTATGGCCACTCGGATGCTCGAGAGCGCTGGGGAGCGAAGCTGTGCGTCTGCAAGGCACAGCAGCGGTGCCATACCCCTGTGGGGACATGCTCGGGTTGGGGGCCCGTGTCCAGCCCTGGGGGGCCCCATGGTTATTTCCCACAGGGATCGGGGCCGGAGGGGATTACCCAGGGTCTGGTTTCCAGCGCTGGGAGCTCATCGCGCTCAGGGACCGATGGTTTTGTGCTGCTCACTGCGCACATCTCCACCATCCCACCCAGCCTCAGCTCTCCTGAGCTGATTTCCCCCATCCTGTACAATTATGAGCGCTCAGAAATCAGCAGCAGGCAACGACCCTCCCCTTGGATCTGCTGGGCTGCTGCCTTGTTTACACATTGGCAGCATTCTGGCGGATCACGAGCAGCACGCAGCCCAGGATGCCAGCAGCTCACCTGTAGCCTTCTGCCTTCCCTGCCTGGAGCCTTCATTCCACACACAGCTGCAGCAAATAGTCATTCAGCCCCTGAGCCCTGTGAGTTCAGAAGGAGCCTTGCAGAAACCCTGAGCATTTTCACATCCCTTTATTCCTCATAAACGTTGTTCCCTTTCCATTGGAGCAGGGGCACAGCTGCCCAGGGAGTGCTGGGGTCACCATCCCTGCAGGTGTTTCCTAACTGTGAGGATGTGGCACTGAAGGCTGTGGGCATAGTGGGGTGAGCTGAGGTTGGACTGGGGATCTTAGCTGTCTTTTTTAACCTGAATGATTCTGTGACATAAACAAAGGAAAGTCTCCCAAGAGCCAAAGCCTCTCTGGGGTCCTAAAAGCAAATCACTGCCTCTAAAAAGTAAGTGCAGTATTACCACCTTCTGCACAGTGCTGCAAATACCCCTAGCAGAGATGGGGCTCCAGGCCCTGTTTTGCCCATTCCCTGTGGCCCCATCACTAACAGAGATAGAAACAGGGGGCTCAGCTGTGTGCAATAAGCATTACTGCCCTGAACGCACGCAAAATGGCAACAGGCTGCCTTGGCCCAGGTGTGGGGCTTTGCTCCTAATGATGGGAGCAGGGTTATAAAAGCACCCTGAGGGCCTTTCTCCTTTTGCAGGGTACTAGGAGAGGGCTTCAGCACAACCAGGCTGTAAGTATGAGTTGGGGTTCCTACAGAGTTTTGTTCTCGTTCTTCTTTGGTATCTGCTGCTTGAGCTGTTGGGGCTGCTGGTCATCCCCTCACCTGCGTGCGTTCTGAAGTTACTCTATGCTTAATTACCACAGTCCCCATACCAAGGGGAAGCCCAGCTCTCAGGCTCTAGCATGCTGCATTAAGGCTGTAGGGACCTCACAGCTGAGATCTCAGGATGCGGTGCTGCGGCTCTAGAGGGAGCAGTCGGCCCTGTAGTGCTGCCAGGCCGCTGCTGCTCTTTCACCCCAGCTACGTAGGGAGGGCTGGGAATGTTTTCCTGGAAAGCGTGACCCCGCCCGTGGCGTTTGCATGCAAAGAGCCTTGCAGGGCCCCATTCTGCCCCAAAGCTAGCCTGTCGCTGCTGGCTGTACGGTGAGCGGCTTCATTCTGACGCTGCAGGAAGGCCTGGGAGCGGTGAGTTGCTGGTATGGTGAGTAGCTGGGGGTGCTGGGGCAGCGGCAGGGAGCAGATGGAAGCATTCCAGTGAGAGCAGTCAGGTTTGATGCTCCTTGCTGGAAGCAGCCGGAACGGAGAGTGGTGGCTCTTCCTGCATGGCAAGCTGTAACCCTTCCCTGCCCGGTGTGCCCACACAGCACGGGCTGTGCTGTTCTATGAGCTCTTTGCACGTGACTGCTGCCCCTGTGGGAGCTACACGTCCCTGTCACGCTTCCTGGGTCCGTCTCTCTTGCGCAGCGCCTGCCACAAACGGCACACGGCTGCTGAGGCTTCCGGCTTCTGAGCACGGCCCCATGGTGGGGGACGCTGAGGGAGAGCCCTGGGCAAAGTCCTGGTGCTGGGTGCAGGCTGAGCACCGCTGTCCCGCCAGGACGGGCCCTGAACTCCCAGCATGGCTGCACAGATGTTTGAGGGCACGCAGCATGCAGCCATCTACCTGAAGTACCGCTTTGCCCCTGGCAAGGAGCTGAAGGACACCATCCTCGCCTACCTGCAGGAGAAGGTGAGTGGGGCACAGCTGTGCTCATTTTATCTCCTTACCCCTTCACTTGGAGTAGGATAACCGCCGGGGCTCAGCGGGGGCCCCGGAGCCTGCACCCAGCCGTGAGCAGGGCTAGGAGTTGGAGTGCTGCTGCTGAGATGCGCCCCCTGTCCCTGCAGGCTCCCAGCTGCACCCAGCTGGCTGTGGACGTGGGCTGCGGGTCGGGGCAAGGCACAGCCTTCCTAGCAGAGCGCTTCGCAAAGGTGGTGGGCACCGACATCAGCCAGGCACAGATCCAAGAGGCCAGGACTGCCCCTTCTCCTCCCAACATCTCCTATCTGTGAGTGCTGCAGGCAAAACCCAGCTCCCTGCTTTAGCTTTGTGTCTCGCTCCGCAATTCCCAGCAATGCACGCTGTTATTTTTCTCCCCCCGTCTGCAGGGTGTGCCCAGCAGAAGAGCTGCCCTTCGAAGATGCCTCAGTTGATCTCCTGGCCTCGTTCACGGCCGCGCACTGGTTTGATACTGGGAAGTTCATGAACGAGGCGAAACGCGTGCTGCGGCCGGGCGGCTGCGTGGCCATCAGCACCTACACTGCTGATATGAGCCTGCACTACGGAGACTGCTCTGAAAAGCTGACCCAAATCTTCCGGGAGGTGAGGGAGGGCACTGAGCCTCCCCACTGGGGCAGGGGGAAACATACAGTGGTGGGTGGATGCTGAGGGGAGAGGCGGTGGGGTGAGGAGCTGAAGGGCTGCAGGGTGGGCTGGTGTGGGGAGAGGGGAGCAGGGACGTCATAGAAGTGCATATGCCGCAGGCCTAGGACCGAGCTCTGTGGAAATGAGGAGCTCAACGTGGTTGTGTTTATCTGCTGTCATTGCAGGCCTGGGACCAGCTCTTGAAATACTCACATAGTAGAGTAAAACACGTCCTGGAAGACTACAAGGAGATCTTTGAGGCTTTGCCGTTTCCAGACAAGAAGAGGTGAGCAGGAGCTCCTTGGTGCATGACCGTGAGTGGGTCCGAATGCTGCTCCTGACCCATCAGCTGCCGTAACGAGATGCTTTCCTCTCCTGGACCTTGGATAAAGTCATGAGTTTTATTCATCACTACATCGCTCTGTGGTCGCCCTTGTTCTACTGCCTGTATTTTATGTGCCAGTGCTCCTTTCTTCCCTATTTCCTTTCTAGAATCACCAATATCTATGATAAAATTCCTATGACGGTTGCTGGGGTGGTCGGTTACTTAGAGTCTGCCTCTCCATACCAAGTATTCATGAAGAGTGATCCTGAGGCTGCAAAAACCCTCCTCCCAAGGATGGAAAAGAGGTAATAAAAGGGAAAAAAAAAAAAAAGGCTTTCATGCAAATGAGTAGGGCATGGAGGATGTCCTCTTACAGGGTGAATCAAGAGTGGGGTTGAGGGGAAGGAGGGGTGCACCGCTTTGTGAAAGGGTTTCTGCTTGTGGTCATTTCCCTACACCTGGTGCTGCATGGCTGGATGGGGATGGAGGACCCTTACTCTGCTTCTTGCAGGCTGCTGGAGACGATGGGAGCTGCCTCACGTGACACCCCGCTGGAGTTCTGGGTGAGGCATGTCTGCATCCTGGGGCACAAGGAAGCGTGAGGCAAGCCTCCTCCTGACCTCGTGCTGAAAGAAACAGGATTCCAAACACCCTGCTCTTCCTTGGAGAGATCAGTGGCGATTTCAGTGATCGAAGCCTTAATCTTTGTAAGCAGACGTGGACTTAACGCAGGGCCACAGGGTCTGTGCCATGCTCCCAGTCTGCCCAGCACCCTCCTGTTGGAGGAACCCACCGGGGTGGTTGTGATTATTATCCCACATCCAATCCTATAACAGCTGAATTTCTTGAACAATTAAAAAAAATAAGTTGCAAAGTGGAATTGTGTTTGGCTTCTCTAATAGAGGCTTGGTGGGCCTGGCTGCTCTGGTCCCTGTGGAATTTCTTGGCAGGGAGCTCTTGTAGCTTGAGCCTCCCTGGGCTTGCTCCTGCAGAGAATTGTTTGCATAGCCCTTGGATCCAGCCTCAGTTTTTTTTTTATCTGCTTTGTGCACCAAAAGTAATCATGTACCACTCCCTGAAATGCAGAGGCGAAATGATTCAAAGCTGGGTCTCAACAGGTGCTGGTCACCTCCTGTTTGCTTTTTGGAGGCACTGAGGTTCCATGGGGATGTGTCCAGTTCCCATAATCCCTGCACCAGGCAGGAACGGTGCCCTAGAGCTGTGCTCTGTGAGGGGATCAGGGTCCCCTTTCCCATAAAAAGGGATTTTGTGCTATCAGTCCCATGGGGTTTTTCTCCCATGGAAGCACTGTGGGGAGGATCTGACCAGCCCATCCCTTTGGGATACTGCAGGTGAGGCAACATCCCCAGGCTGTCCTCCGTGTTAAACTTGAGAGGGTTGGAGATGCTGTGTCCCTACAGCACTGGCACAAGAGCTTTCCAAAAAAAGGGTTTATATTCACAGCAGCTAACTAGAACAGCTCTCCTCATGTCAGCATCTGAGGGATGATGCAGGGGTGATGTGACAGCATGAGTTACATCACTGCAGCTGAGTGCTGGTAGTGGCACCAGCAGGTGGGATGGCTGCAGTGACAGCTGCTGAGCAGTGGCTATTTGTTGGATTTGGGGCATTATTTTGTCTTGCTTCACCTTTTTCCC